GAGCATTCTCCCGCGTCTACACATTGGTTTAATTTATTATATTACATTCAATCAATACAAGGATTTATTATAGTTTGTCTTTAAACAGCAAAAAATATCTTTATTTATTTACGTTAATTATGCCGGGTACAGATCTGCGAAATGTAGCTTGCAATATAACATCTGTTCGTGCGCGTAGTGAGCACGGTTCGGGCGCTCAAGCCGTCCACACTATGGAGAATTCTGTAATGTATCATGCAAATACATTCCGACAATGTGGACGGCAAATCCTTGCATTGCGTGTTACATTGCATGCTACATTCCGCAGATCTGTACCCGGCTTTACCCAAACAAAATTGTTTACTTTTACTTTGAACTTTGATTACAGAGACAAACAATTTTATTTCAGTTTTATGTTTACATTAATTTAACTAGTGTGCAGACGCATAATAGAAATGTCACTATACTTTTAAGACGCTTACTTAATGTATAAATTAAATACAATATTATATTCTAGAAAGCTATACTTGTCACTACAGGGTGTATAAAATAATATTGAGATTTTGAAAATAAGTTATTCTTAAAAACCATATTCTGACAAGATGTGTGCAGTGCACATATTATTAGAGATGTCATACTGTATCATTAGGCACTAAGTACTATCAGGGACTCTTCCGCCTGANTAAGTAGTATAATATCTATTAAATTGAGACTTCAGCCTTCACTACATATTCTATTTTAAAATTTCAGATGCCTTAGGTATCTTAAAAAAGTAGGTATATGTAATGTATACTTTGAAACACAAACATTTGCTATTACAACACCAATAAATACAAGTACCTACATTTTAAAATAAAAATATCACAGAAAATATCAGTGTGCAATAATAAAAAAGTTAAGCAATAAAATATTAAGCGTTTCGATTCTCGATTTTAAATGTCCCTCTCTCTCTTTTTCTCTCTATTTCTTTATCTTTATCTATCTTCAGAAAACATGATGTTTACGGCAAAAAAGACTAGGTACTTACATTACATATTACATTTAATTCTAAAATCGCAATTATTACGACTACTCTTTATGATGCCAGTTGCCATTAATATGTTTTAAACATGAAACAACCGGCGCTAAAATATCGGTTTAGACTCACTGAGTTACAAATTATAGGTTTAAATCTGTCTTACTTCAGCAATGTTTCTAAACTACATCTCATATTCTACAACTATAGTTATTAGGAATATAATTTAGTTCCGTTACGGAGGAAATGGCACAAGTCTCACTAGATATCAAATACTGTACTCTATAATCTACAAAGAGTTTAAGGCAATGTTTACTATTGATTAGTTCAGCTTCAGAGCTTCCCACGTCTACACATTGGTTTAATTTATTATATTCAAACAATTCAAGGGGCTTATTCCACTATTCCCCGTTGACAATCCCCGTCAACGGGGATTTGTGAACTTTTTGTTCACTCGGGGATTAGTGAACAAAAAGTTAACGCCAATTGGAGCTTAAAAATTAATAATTGGATTGAACGTTAAAAATAATCGTAATATAACGGGGATTAATGAACTTTTTAGTTCATTATTTCCCATTATAAGTTCCAATTGGCGTTAAAAATCACCTTTGACGGGGATAGTCAACGGGGAATAGTGGAATAAGCCAAAAATTTGACGGCCCGACACTTCTCCGCTCCGCTCCGCCTTGGTGGAAACCGGGGCTTAGCCAATTTCAAAGCTAATTGGTGCAAATATCTTTCACCAGTGTGCGGACGCGTAATTAATAAGAAATGTCACTTTATTTTTAGACGCTTACTTAATGTATAAATTAATATTATATTCTAGAAAATTATTACTTGTCAATATACAGGATGTATAAAATATTGAGATTTTTAAAATAAGTTATTCTTGAAAACCACTATTCTGACAAGATGTGTGATCATGTGTGCAGTGCACATATTAGCAATGTCATACTGTATCATTATTAGGCACTAAGTACCTATGTAATGATCGTAAAAAAATATTTAATCTATTTGGATTGAATCCAGAGCAAAAAGCTTAATATGTAGTTTGAAAGGTCGATGTTCATTCTTTATTGCTTGTTACTGTAGGTCCAATACAGGGTGTTTGTCGTCAATTAACAATATGTAACTAAATCTCACTCATAGATTCTGTCCTGTGCCTGTGATTGGTTCAAATTAATATATTCATCAAATCAAAAGCCACAATTTGTTGTTGAAATTGAATTGAATTTTTTGAGCTTATAGCCATAGAGTATCAAAAATTGAGACCAACCTGTATAGACAGACAACTATGTAGACATAATATGTAGTAGTTAATTAAAATATTTCTCTCTATTGATAATTACATTTGCTTTAAATTTTTGTAAGCTTTAGAGCTTGTAGCTTGCTTGTAGCTATAGAAATTGACTGATCAGGATTTTCTTTATCAGACTGTATAAAAATATCATTGGTAAAACAGACCTTTGACTATGATAAATGATAAATATGTGACAAACAAAGCACATTAAATTAAGTCACAAAATGGAGTATTCTTCTCTTATTTTATCATTTTTTCTCATTTAATATAATCAAAGGTTAATTAAGTAGTTTAAATATCTAGAACTAGATCTATAGTTTTAAGTATATCAGTAGGTATAAGTATTGACAATGAAAAGGTATAAAAAGTTTCATAAACAGTATTCGAAAATAATGTTATCACAAATGTAACACGCTTATTATTCTGTAAACTTAATGGACCTTGTTTCTCTCATTTGTGAATGTCATTCCCTTACTATAAATCCCTTACTATACTTTTTTCTGAAAACATACAAAGTATTAAAAAAAACTTAGAAAAAGATTTCTAAGAGGTTCCAAGACATACACATACATATCTGCTGTGCTAGCGATATCAGCAGTAACTCCATTTTTGGCAAAACTATAATGAGCTTATCGTCGTCGTTCGTCGTTTCAGCCGAAAGACGTCCACTGCTGGACAAAGGCCTCCCCCAAGGATTTCCACAAAGACCGGTCCTGCGCCGCTTGCATCCAGGTACTATAATACCAATGAGCTTATGTGATATTTCAAATAAGCTGACAGGATTTTTTTTAAAAGCAAAATTTTGGAGTTACTGCTCATATCTCTAGCACCTCAGATATGTACTACATAGGACTTTTTTCTATATAAGCTGCTTATATTTGACCTCAGATTTAAGAAAAAGACATTTACATGATGTTAAAGTCACTCTCATTTTACGTTTAAATCACACTGAGTCTGTTTATCAAGCTTTATTAGGAAAAACATTTTACCTAAAGGTCACAGACTCATTAACAACCTATTTAGACGATATACGTTCAAGTATATCATTAAATGCACATTACAATAGAGATCAATTCCCAATACGTATCACACAGAATGCTACAGCATTTTATGAACAGGTTTCATATAATTATGAATACTGATCAACAAGGCAAAGACTCCCACAGATCTTACTTTTTCTTAAATCAATACTTTTAAATAGTTAAACATAAATTTCTATAATCTTTGGCATGTAAACAAGATTGTAATAATATAAAAATTGTGAATAATCCACAACGCAAAGACCNTGAAGACCAACAGATCTTTTTTTACCTAAAAATAACAATACTTAGCATAACATTTAAATGAAAAGTCTTTAGTTAATAATAATAGTGAGAGCTAAAGAATTATACCGACGTCAGGTACCATGATGGTGCAATTTTCGTTAGCGTGCGGCGACCGGCAATGAGGTTTTTCGTGTAAGTTGTCTAGATCTACCTGGATGCCCTTTTTCCTTGCAAGCTCCATTAGATAGCACTTCATTTTCAAGTCACTGAAATTTGAAATAGAATCACACTTAAAAACGGTATCTTTTCTAAATAAAATAAGGATATAGGCTTCCACACAGACTGAGAGACTGTATTATTTAACCCTAGAAACTAATGGATGAGATCCTGTTACCTTTCATTCATTGACCACATACCAAATCAAAATTCATTAATAAAATATTATAAACCATCATTTCAGACAATTAAGAATAGGATTAAATAACCATGAAAAGGTGGCCCACTAGGTGGACCGACGATCTGGTGAAGGTCGCTGGAGGTGCCTGGTGCTCGCATCCGAGCGGCGCAGGACCGGTCTTTGTGGAAATCCTTGGGGAGGCCTTATTCCAGCAGTGGACGTCTTTCGGCTGAAACGAACGAACGAACGAACCATAGAAAGAAATAATACTTTATTATGGATGGTTTAGTCCGGAAATAAATAACAACTTACCTAAACTTCATACACATGCAGCATAAACAGCAAATCATAGCCATTGTGATCAAAACACCTAATGTAGCGAGGACCATGTCCATCAAGCTCATTTCCAGCATTTTGTCAGTCTGTAGCCGCCAACACAAGTAACTTTATCGCTGTAATTAATAAAATTGCGCCTTCATAAACACACTCAATCAATAATCATGTTTATTCCAAAATACATGAGAAAACGAAGACTTACATGTAATTAGATTTTCGTAAATGTAAACATCAGAAATAAGCTAGTTTATTTTCACTTTATCGTCTTCAGTTTGTCCAGATTTGTAGTAAATACAAATTTATTTACGATTCTGATTTCAAGCTGTCAAAAAGCGTCATGAATGAAAATATTGGGAAAATTAAAGTCCAGTGTGCCGCGGAAACTCTCCTGAAAGCTGAAAATATTTATTTACGTTGTTTTTGACCAATAGGCTTTCAGAGTTGCTGACTGTCATACACCCTGATTGGTTGGCTAAAAAGAAATGACATTTCAGCGCTCGTTCGGAAATCAAGAGTCAAAGTTTTCCACTTCGAGTACAACGGTCAAAGGAGAAGATAATATTATATTGAAAAAAATATGTGGCCATAACCATATTACGTGTATTTAAAAAAAATATAATTTCATTTTCATTCTTACTCATAGTAATAAACTTCAACATCCATTATGGGCCATATATGTTGGAAAAGAATAAACGTGAAAGTATTAAAGGGGTATTTATTAGAATCATTTATGTTATAACTTTAATTTGAAGAAAAAAACATTAGACCACAAACACACCAGCATCTTCACATACAATATTGCAGCTTTGATTAGCTTGCGTCTGCGGTTGCTTTCTTGAAATCTTACGTAATTTTCCATCTCTATTTAATTTATTCGCCAACGCCTTTACGTCCTTTTTCAGCGCATAATCACTGAAACAAAAGAATCAATCAGAAATCTTAAATCTCTATACTTACTATAAATAGGTATACTTCAAGTCATATTAACTTGTTAAAAAAATACTAAATTACTTGCCTGTAACTAATTCTGCAACAGTAGCAACACGCTGCTACAACGCAAACAGCACAGCAAGTAATAAATAATATCACCGATATCATGATCGAGTTGAAAATTTTCTCGGATTCGAGTCGTATTTTATCTGAAACAAAAAATATTTTAGTTCGTAAAATTATTATTTCTAGCGTTAAGAGTTGCATCTCAAACTAAACTGCCTAAGGAATCGAACCCACGAAAGGTAGCCTAAGGTGACAATCTTAAGGCTATGCTTAAGGTCGTAATGATAATGTATTGTACCTACTTTTATTTACAATGGCGATTGTTAAATAATGATAGCCTTACTTGACATGGTACCTCCTCCGGCAACTGTAAAAAGTTAAATGTTCATTAAAATAAATAGTAAAAATAATGCAAATCTATCCTTGAAACTACTTTAATCGCTGAAAACTTACTGGTTCCTCCATCCTCCGAATCTTTATCTTGGCTGTCTGAAGAAAAAAATATAAGTTGATGTAAAGTATAATGTAGAAAGGTAGGTATTACCACCTAATGGAGTTAACTGCGCACCTGGCAGCCGTGACGTCATATCGTGGTACGAACAGAGTTTGACCGTGGGGAGGTGAATGCGAGTCGCATTTCAGCGAGGTGCGCAGTTAACTCGATCGAATTGTACAGGTTGAGCTACTAAGAAACTGAATGGATTCTGTTTAGGATCAGTTTGTGATCATCTGTATGTAAAGTTAAATGAACTCACCATATATTTTTATTTCAGCGATCATCAGATGTCTGAAACTTACAACACACGTCTTTGTAGTTTCGTTGTATTGTATCGCCCTGCAAAGCAAAATGTGAATAACAATTTGATTGGATTTGAGTATTATCTCGTGAAAGTATGTACCTAATTGTGTACTTAAGTGTAAGAAGTCTGACATAATAAGCAATCAAAGCCAATCGAAGTCTATTTATTCAAGATCACTCTATGATATCATGTAGAGGTAGCATTTTCCTCCTTTTTTTTTCGGGGAAAAAATGCATTGAATTGCATACCTACCCTGCGGGAACAGGGTAGGTTACGTGGGGCTCAATAAGTCAGAAGGATCAAGGCATACCCACAGACTAAAAAGACCATGGTGCTCCGTCATTCGCCTTAAGTGGGAAGGAACTGTGGGCCCGTGGGATCCCGGACAAAGCCTTCACTACCACAGTCCCTCCCGGTAGCATTATCTCCCTACTTTAAGTCTTCTAGCTAGACTACATATCATAATTAAATTATATTAGTCTTTAAAAGTCATTCAGGCCAGGAATGTGTAGATAATACGTTTTGGTAGCATCCCATCAGTTCAGAACCCCTGCCAATCTCTAGCCCGTAAAAACATGAGCCTGAAAGTAGCACGCAATGCTTGTGTGCGAAACTTTCGTGGCCAAAAGTTCTGTGGACGGAAAGTTTAAATGTGAAATATATTCATTTGACAAAATAATCCATCGTTTTCATTGAAGAGTCAACATGAACTTCTGGACCCCTGTTTAAAAGACTTTACTACGTCCATTAAATATTGAATTAAAAAATCGGTTATCTGTATGTTCGTTCTGTGTAGGTAACTAAGGTGTAGTAGCAATTCCAAGCAATACATACATGAACCCAGACCTGTCGCAGCCACATATTTCATGACAATCCGTAGAACTGGATGGACAGTCACCATTCTCGTCACATTTAAATGCTGCAGTCTAAAACATGAAATAATACACATAATAAAAGATTTACTCTAGTAAGTAACAGTAAATAATAATAGGAAATATGATCGTACTTTGTTGTTTTCATCATGAGGAACTGCATCTGCAAAAAGGATAAAAAGTTTGCTTCATAAGAGTAACAAACACACTTACTTACTTGGTTAGTTAGAACCTTGTAATTTCACCCGGATCCTATAAATCTCAATAATATGTACCTGCCTACCTTAATGTTGCTGTATTATGCTGCATGTAATAAATGTCATTTTTTTTTTAATTCTATAACGTTATTATAACCCGAGAAGTGTGTTTAAATTTTTACCGAATTCATGCGAGCGCGAACACAATCTTATAATCATAAATATCCGACCAATAGGCGTTCAGAGTTGCTAACTGTCATACATCTGATTAGTTAAAAAGAAATGACATTTCAGCTCTCGTTTGGAAATCAAGCGTCAAAGTTTTCCACACTTCGAGTACACCGGTCAAAGGAGAAGATAATATTATATTGAAAAAATGTGTGGCCATAACCATATTTCATGTATTTTTGAAAAATATAATTTCATTCTCGCTCATCGTAATAAATCTCAATATCCATAATTATTATGGGCCATACCTACATGTTGGAAAAGAATAAACGTGAAAGTATAAAAGGGGTATTTATTAGAATCATTTCTGTTATGTTATAACTTTAATTTGAAGAACAAAACATTAGACCACAAACACACCAGCATCTTCACATACAATATTGCAGCTTTGATTAGCTTGCGTCTGCGGTTGCTTTCTTGAAATCTTACGTAATTTTCCATCTCTATTTAACTTATTCGCCAACGCCTTAACGTCCTTTTTCAGCGCATAATCACTGAAACAAAAGAATCAATCAGAAATCTTAGCTCGTCTTGGGTATACTTCAAGTCATATTAAGAGTAGGCGCACACCGATGATTTTTAGTTGGCCGATAGTTGTGCCCGATTTTAAATTGTATGAAGAATCGGCCAAATCGAATCGGCATAGTGTGCGCACTCCCATACAATCCCATATTGATCAACTGCCCGACTAAACTATCGGCCGACGAAAAATCAACGGTGTACGCCTAGCTCTTACTTGTTAAAAAAATACTTACCTGTAACTAATTCTGCAACAGTAGCAGCACGCTGCTACAACGCAAACAGCACAGCAAGTAATAAATAATATCACCGATATCATGATCGAGTTGAAAATTTTCTCGGATTCAAGTCGTATTTTATCTGAAATAAAAAATATTTTTGTTTACTTACTAGTTACTTAGTTCTTAAAAATTATTAAAAATTCTATCAACTCTTAAAATTGCATCTGAAACTAATGTGCCTAAGGTGGGAATCGAACCCGCGAAAGGTTGCTTATAGGTGGCAAGCGTAAGGGTCGTGGTGTTAATGTTTGTTGTACTTGTACCCATAGTTAACTTTTTGGTTATACCTACTTTTTTGATCGCCATACTTAGTTATATATTTTATGATTGCCTTACTTGACATGGTACCTCCTCCGGCAACTGTAAAAAGTTAAATGTTCATTAAAATAAATAGTTAAAATAATGCAAATCTATCCTTGAAACTACTTTTTATACTACGTAATTTAATTTAATCGCTGAAAACTTACTGGTTCCTCCATCCTCAGAATCTTTATCTTGACTGTCTGAAGAAAAAAATATAAGTTGATGTAAAGTATAATGTAGAAAGGTAGGTATTACCACCTAATGGAGTTAACTGCGCACCTGGCAGCCGTGACGTNTAAATATCATAATTTAACAGATGATAAATAAACTTACACGCGATCGCACTAAACAAAACGAACAATAACGTAATCAAACAGTAATTCGCAGTCTGATTAGCCATTCTCAGTCTTCTCTCCGAACTAATTCTTTTAATATCGACATAAACATTACGCCTTTGTAAAATTAGAACTGAGAAACCAATTCAGAACATTAAAGTCACAATAAATATAAAATTAACCAAAGAAAACTTCAATAAATGATTTCGTACAAGAGCTTCCAACTAGACAGCTTTAAAGCGTAGGGATAGGTTTAAAATAGAATGACCTCGTATCGCATGTAACAAATATCAACCGCGCAAAAGTTTAATCTTTTCTTATGAACCTTTTACATAAAACTTGTTTTATACTAAAATAGGCTTTTACTTATTACCCTAATGTTCATTTATCACAGTTCAGGCACGTTTTGATAGAGAAGGTTCACTCTTTATTCAGTGATTTATGAACCTAGCAACAGCGACAATAGAAATTATTTGGATAAAAATATAAACAAAAGCAAATCGTAATTTTATAAAAAAAGGTATTGTACTTATCATCCCTTATTTAATTTACGCACGAAAGGTTACGCTTCTGTGATAAACCTAAAAGTTTATAATTTATTATTCTAGCAGCAGACATTATTTTACCTATTCTAAACAACTGACCCCTAGCCTCCAGGTTGTCTGGAAGAGATCACTTAATTGCGATAAGACCAAAAAAAAGAGACATACTTCAAGAGGATAAGACCGCCCAAATTGTGCGGTGTTTCTTTTTTATTTCTTTTCTTGTCTTGTGTGGTGTACAATACAGTGTGTTCTATACATAATAACTATCTATTAATTTTCCAATAAGTTTTAATTTCAACTCATAATCCCCATGAACCCTCGCGACTGCGCTTTTATTTGGTTAAAAAAAAAACTTTTTGAAAGAGGTTGGCACAGAGCCCCGATTACGGTAATTTTTAACGTCAACAATCCAGACACGCTTCTCGATTCTGCGATACGATTGGTCGTTCAACATCGTACGTCAGCTGTTTTGACCAATCGTATTGCAGAATCAGAAACGCGTCTGGATTGTAGACGTTAAAAGTTACCGTAATCGGGGCTCTGGTTGGCATGTCAAATTGGGGTGAACGAAACGTTTTTCGTTCAGAAATGAAATGATACACTTTGTGGTTAAATTGTGGAAAATAACTGGAAAATTCAATATTTAAAACAAAAGCACAATCATTTGTTTCCAATTTTCATTAAACCGTTCATAAAAATCTAAAAGAAACAATTTTTTATAGAGACAAGACGTGGAAAGTTGGTTGGCTCCCCTATGCAAGTACTTTGTCCCTTTCGTCGCAGTTGTCATCTGCAACTAGTAGGCACGGGAGCGAGCGAGAAAGATATAATTAACTTGGTCGGTAGTTAAAAGTGAAGTGTTTGCACGAAGCCCGCTCAACCCAAAATTGAAATCAAAAAACCAGTTTCCGTACCGATCACATTCACATCGCGCGCGGCAATAGCGTAATCGAGCCGTAGTTTTTATAAAATTGTTATTCATGTTTTCTCACGTAGATTAAAATCTCAATAGTTACAGTTAGTTATTCCGCACAGTTTAATTTAGGAAATTAAAAACCGTACTTTGAAGATACTACGGTACAGTTGTGATTTCCAAGGTGTGTCGTGGTTCAAATTTCGAATCGTGAGTGAACTTTTGTGCATTCACATGAAAATAGGTGTTTTGTTTGTTGCAATAAGTTTGTGTGCAAAAGAGATGTTGAGAAACTGTAAAAGAAGTTGATTAATTCAATCGTTTGTGTTTGCATTATTTGAGTGATATTCCGTGTTTTCTACAAGTCCCAGTGAAGTAAACGTGAGTAAAAAGTACCATCTATGCTAACTGTTTTCAGCCTTTGTGCGCTCTATGCTTCAATTACCACGGTTTATAGTTGTGTGAGGTCCCCAGTAAGATTTCTGTTGGAAAAGAGTTTCCAATAAGATTATTTTGACAACAAAGTTTGCGTTCGTATCCATGCGAATGTTTTGATTTGGCATTCCACTGCGGTTGCATACGGTTGGCCTGAGACCGGTTTTAGTGAGTTAATAACTTTATAATGACTTTGTACGGCATTAAGTTCGTAAAACAACGTGATAGAATTGATCAGTCAAACTATAACGCGACCTAAAACATGCTAAACTACAAATTTTAATAAATATATTTATGAAAATTTTGGCATTACATATTCCTTTTCCTGTAACGAGAACTTTATTAAAATGTGTTTACATGAACTATACTAGGTAGGTATATTATTCAGTTACCCAAGCACTTTACTTCTATAAACCCTTTTAAAACCCCATCACTTTAACATGTTTGTGGTTATCAATACAATCATTTGAATGGGATTTTGATTTACATGGTATTAGAGTGTCACAGACAAATCATTCAGGCTTTCTGTATAAATGGTTATTCACAAAAAATCCTAGAGAGACAGACTTATGGTAAAGTTACATACCAACTTATTTAGTTGAATGAAAAGTTTGAATTCTTAATAAATTCTGTCATAAAAGTTTTTAATAAGTGTAGAAATTACATTAACTTCCTAAAATTAATATTACTAATCTATTCAGGCATAGGTCCTTAAATAAAATATACAGCCTTGGCCAAAAGTATTGAGCACCCCCTAAATACTGCTTATACGTGATAACTATAAAAGATACTCAAAGATATTTGNAAAGACATTGTCTTGACGTAACTAACAAGGAAAACCTTCCTACAGATGGCTGGAACGCAATCACGGCTTCACCGGACAACGATCAGCCGTTCCTGATGCCCAACCACACAGTTGTCGGAGTCATGCAGCCATGGCCTGCAACAAGGCCGTATATTCCATATTCATAGTGATTTTCGGCTTCATTTGCTTCATCGTTGGAGCTGTCGCAGTCGGACTCCCAAATTGGGGGTATTTTTTCAGCTGTGAGTATAATTTACATACGGTTTTACATACTAAGTGTAAATTAGTGTACAGTTCCCAGAACCTGTTAATTTATTAAATGTAATTAGATTAGTAACATCAAATACCTTTTAAAATTAAAATAATATCTTTCAGAAACAAACACCAGCTGTTCCCTTTTTCATAAAAACTTCACAGTTTACTTTAAGTTTTGTAAAGTTTTTTTGGGACTAAAAATAAACAGTCCTATAAATTAGAATGAAACACTATATTTTGTTCTTTTCATTAGAGTAAATTTAACTTTCAACAAAAGTAAAGCATTAAGTTTTTATGAATAAGGGATTTGATCTATTTGCAATTCAATTAATCAAAATCGGGTAATAAGAAAAAGAAAATCTTCATTGAAAAAAGTCGAGATTATAAAACTTTTGACCAAAAAAACTTAATCGTAGATTGATTTTTCTTTTTTACCAGGTTTCTAATTTTCTGTACAAAATTCTTTCTTACTGAACCAGCAATTCTGTCCGCACAAACCTTAGTATAAAACCAAATAGAAATAGCAATGCACCGTTTTTTCAGATGATTCCAACTTACAAATCTCTATGCAGTCGTACTACTGTGAGTACCATCTTAGAATCCAAATAACGGTGGTGGTAATAGAATTAAATACGTGACTTATTTTTGGTGAAGGGTTTATCGTTAGAATATTTATTTATTGTAGCTTTTTGTATTATTATGTAACTTAACTAACCAATGATTGTCAACTGTGGTGTAATGAAGAAAATGGGTTATCTTTGATGATTTTTGATTGATTATGATTCATTATTTTATTTGTGTCTTGTAACTTAATATTAATACCTATTATAGCATTTTTCGTTCAAGAGCTTCATTATGCAATTGAAATTGGCTTATCGAAATAATTAGGTAACTTAATTAAAATTGATCAATTATAGTCACTAACCGATCGCATAACTGCGACCTGCTCTGCTCATTAAGTCGCTTAATTTCTCTAATTGCCTTTTTATTAGGTCCTTATTAAATTATAAAAACATTCTTAAAATTTTATTACTGCCTTAGGTACTATTAAAAGTTACACACACGTTGAGTAGTTGTTAAAAGTGTCATTTCCACGTCACTTTAATTAAACTATTGTTCAACACGCATGTAACTTATTAATGAAGAACCAATGGAAGATTCATTAGCAAACGCGCTCAATACCTCAAAGTTTGACACGGTAACCGTAAACACGTAATAATGTTTAAAAAAACCGGACCCTATCGCAACGGAAGTTGCACTCCCTAGGCTGCGCCGGCGCAAGCGAAGTGGGACAAACCGCGATGGTGTACTGTTACCTGCCTTTCTAAGTCCCTTCTCGTTAGATCACGGAGATAGGGCATTGCATCAATACTCTTAATAACGAATCAGTTCAATGTACGCTCTTGGCAACAGCGAAATCTATTCAGAAGTAAAAAAATCGCGACAAAACTGTCTCTTGCAGAAATGTAGAGATCGTTCAACCTGGTGCGGAAAAAACGTGAATGTAGTGTCAAAAAAGCTATCGCAACTCTCAAGAATTTACTTAATTGCTGGAATGATTTATAGAGCAACATTTTCTAATGCCTGCCTAATTCCTCTTTATTAACTCTCAACGACTCTGATTGTCTGTTAATTAATGCTAATTACGATAACCTTACAAACTCATTACTATGTTAACCTCTAATGATCATACTTGTAGGCTTTATAAGACACTTACAAGCGCTATAAACCCACAGTGCATTTAAAAATGTGGCACGCCTGCCAAACGGGTCGATGACCTCCGAGACCTTTGTGACAAAACTTGTGGGAGATGCACAGGCGCTGTTATGGACTGTATTTTTAAACCCATACATCGAGCATTCAACTTTATCCGTACAGAATATTAAAATCTTATCAAATAATGCCTCGATATTTTTCATGAATTAAAAATATCTATTCGATCTCACAGTTCTCTTTTCGATTTGCATACGGCCATGGCATTAAGAGATAATTCGGCCGACTTTGTATGGTTCCAATACAAGCTTTCATCCTTACATTTGAATCCAATGCAAAATAAAATGTCGAGCGTTGTTTTCTTTCATATAAATGACTACCATTATTCAATCCGGTTTGATCTCTAAAGCAACGCTCCAAAAAATAGACAAAAGTGATGTGATGTGCAAGCTACAATAGAATAACTGTTGTTGAGGTTTGTCTCGCGTATCGCGTTCCATCAATGGTCAGGCATGATAATGCTATTTTTCGACTGACAGCCAACGACCTCGAATGCCAATACTCGGTTGAAGGTCTTGAGAAAGAGCCGTTTTTCTTCCCTTGTTTTTGTTAACGATTTGTCTTCGGACTCTTCAATGTCTTCATTGTCCGTGACATTGATGCTAAATGAAGTGTCAGCTTCGGCGATTCATTAACAGTTAATTTTGTAACGCTATCTGTTGTGCATTGTTTTTGTACTTGTAAAATTAACAGATCTTTAGCCTTTAGGAATGCATCTTGGCAGAGCAAAAAACGTCGGCCTTTAACAGTTCGACCTCATAATTTCGTAGCTTTACTCGTCATCGGCATTGGGTTTAATTTAAAAGTTAAACTTACATCTAAAAATATCCTTCCAGATTAATTTTTTAAAGTAATAAACCAGGAGAAGGCAAAACAAAAGGCAATCAGCTCTAATGGGTTTTCAACATCATTGCTATCGCAAAACCCAGTTCTTATAGAAAATTGATTTTTGCTTTAGATTGGTTTAGAAAGTACAGCGTGCTATCAGTTAAGTCGTAGGGAAAAGAAACATTACCTATATCTAGGCTATCGGTTAACAACTTAGGACTGCCTACAATCGTAAAATTTATCGTTGCATAGTTTATGACTTACTGTTCTGCGGTGCTTAATGATTTAACACTACGGACGGCCATGGGTCGGTAAAATGCAGCAATCTGCAATGCTGCGGCAGTCACGAATGCATTCAGAATTTATTTGTCTTTTCGATAGCCTGTGGGTATGCAAAGGGAGTCATTTAATCCCATCCCGAGATGGAAAACCGTTTTCTTGAGAAGGAAGAATTGATGGACAGAATTTACTACCTATATGCAAAGCGCATCTTAAATGATGAGTGAGTGAGTGACTGAGTTTGTTCCGACGTTTCTTCTCAGCAATTGCCATATGTTTGTCTCGAAGCGCTGGTAGGGCCCAAAAGATAAGGAGACATGTAAAGTGCCCCATAAGGGCTACCTTTTCTTTTTTTATGTAAATAACATTTTGACGTTCATAAGTGCCACTTGTGGTCTAAACTGAATAAATATTTTTGATTTTGATTTTTGATTTTGAATGTAGAATTCGAAGTCTTAGGGCTTGTTCCATTGGAGACATCCCTTTTTTGGATCCCGAGTCTTTCAAAACTCTACTATTCATATTCATGATGTTATTGCTTCTAATATTCCTGGGAAAATACCAAAATATCATCTAGCTACACGGCAAAACGCGTCATTCATATTTTTTCGTGGTCGACCCAGTAATATGATTGATCATCATGTGTGAGCCAGGAGATCATTGGTCATCAAGAAGTCAATTGACAGTACAGTGGCGTGACTCATTTCGTCATTAGAGAGGTGTTAATGAGGACTGCTGTAAAGAGTTTAGAACACAGCCGTTGTTGGAAGTACATTTATCATGCCCTAAGACACAGAACTGTGAAAGGGCAGGACAGAAAAAGTTAACATATCGCCAACTTCTTGTCTTTGTTTTTCGAATGGCTTGACCTACATTTTTCTATGGTGTTAACACGTAACAATACAAATTCAATTCATTATGTTCATGCGTGCATTACTGTTGTATTGATAGACTGATATGATTCAAGAGGTTATTCAACGTATTTCGGTTTGATTTGTAAGCAGTTATAATTAGTGACCGACCGAATATTCGTTTTCGTTTTCGTTTTCGGCCATTTTCGGCCAAAAAATGGTCATTCGGCCATATTTTCGTTTTCGGCCAAAAACCAGCCGAAGCTTCGGCCAAACCGAATATCAAAAATACGTGAATAAGATGGGGACGTTTATCGTTCCGATATCTTCGGGAGTGAATCTGATGCACTAATGGTTCCAATCAGACTTGAATGGAAGCGGTATTGTCACACTCTTTTGAAGTTTTGAAGTGAGGTTACGTTGTAAAGGGTGTCCAGCGAAAATTTTCCAAGTTCAAAATTGAATACAAATAAAACCAAAGAGTTTTCATTAAGTTTAATTGTTTTAAAATAGAGTCTAATGCGGATTTGAAATACGCCATGAGTCACTGGTCTGGAGCCTACAGAGCGTTCGCAGTTGAGCAATAAGTATTTTAAATTTATTGTCGAATGATCGATGAATATCTGATACCACAACTGCAACTGCATCCCGGCCTACTACTATTTCAGCAAGGTGTCTCACCACACACGGAGAGTACCTCAATGGAGACACTGAGGACTATTTTTTCTAGCCGCCTCGGTCACCAGATCTCACACCATGCGACTTTTTCTTGTGGGGATATCTCAAGTCAAAAGTTTACAGCAAATAATCCTTAAATAATTCAGGTTCTGTAAGAAAATATCCGCCGTGAAGTTGCAGGAAAATTATTAGCGCGATTTGCTCTCGCATAGTTGCAATTGTAAGGGTCCGGCTGTGAGAGTGGCTATAGTAAAACGGGCATCATTTAAAAGACATTGCCTATAAAAAAATAAATCCGCATTGTTAAACTCCAGTTTGCATTAGTAATAAATAATAAAAAATAATTAATTTATTTGTATTAATCATTTTTGAAGTTGAAAAATTCCCACTGGACACCCTTTATTTCTTCTTCACTTCCCAATATTTCAATATACACCGGAAATAATATTCTATTAAGAATTCATAATTCAATTTTTTGTGTTTTAATGCCGGTTTTCTTTAATCAATCCTTATCAAAAACAACTGTCAAACGTCATTATGTTTTTGGTCAAAACGGTATAGTTCCAAAATACTGAACTGTCCTATCGATGACATTGACAGCGGGGCGCCACCGTCAATACCGAATCGCTGGTTCCGATTTTTGCCATGTTGGAAACCATAAAGTTGAACGATGGTAGCGCCCCCCTGTCATTGAGTTTGGCGGGACAGTTCAGCGTGGGTCATCTATAACGGTTTTCAAAGATTTTACATAGGTAATTTCAGATTGAAATTTGAGAGTTGTGAAGGTCATTTTCGTTTTCGTTTTCGTTTTCGGCCGAAAATGAGACTGCAGCCGAAGCTTCGTTTTCGTTTCCGTTTTCGGCTGAAAATCCATATTCGGTCGGACACTAGTTATAATTAACATATTCACTTAATATAATTTCAAAATAATGAAAGTCTAGTTCCACTTCAAAATATTAAAACGACCTAACGGTAAATACATACTTCTAACATAACTAGTTCGGTAACTTTTTGAGATTACCTCATGCAGCATTAAGATTTAAGAATACAGTGAATCGTTTAATAAATAGTTAAGCGTCATCGATTAGCAATGTTTCACCGAGTTTTTTCCGTTTTGTGGTTTATTTAATTGTCTGACTCAATACAAGCGTTCAATCTCGATTGTTAAAACCA